TTAGGGTRACAGAGCAGTGGAACAGGCTGCCCAGGGAGGTTGTGGAGTCTCCTACTCTGGAGGTCTTCAAAACCCGCCTGGATGCCACCCTGTGCCACATGCTCTAGGTGTGCCTGCTTGAGCAGGAAGGTTGGACTAGATGATCTGTAGAGGTCCCTTCCAACCTTAAATATTCTGAAATATTCTGAAATTCTGAAATATTCTCAGCCAAAACTCACTTTTTTTTTTTAAATATTGAGGTAAATACTTTCTGTTTTATAAAATTGCCTTTCTGCAGCAGCAAGCAGAACACTTGTGAATATATAGATATGCATATATTTTATATATATGTCATCCTCTGTCTGTTGGCTGAACTTTTATGTTCACTTTTCCTTTCTCTGCTAGAGTGCAGTTGCGGGGCAGGYTGGAAAAAGGAAAGGATTAGGTAAGGGAAATGTGAAGACATAAAAGCTGAGMGGCAGCTAGAGAACTGCTGCTTTAGACCAAGTGTAATGTTTTGGTCATGGAATTAGGATCTTTTAGAATACAAGTCCTCTAGGATTGCTCTAGTGACATGGTTTAGTATTGAACCAGAGTCATTCATCTCAAGTCTTAGTAGTTACTTTCTCATTAAGGACCTTGGCAATTCAGTGCTTCTAAAAACATTTAATAATAAAGCTCCCTCTGTGCTTTCAGGAGGTAGGAATGATTCGTTAGCTCAGGACAGAGCCATGTGTGGTTTAATAAAGGGGCAGTGTGAGGCTCTGGCAGCCTTACCTGCTGCGATGGCAGAGGGCCAGGACACACAGGGCAGCTCTGTCCCCTCAGCTGTTCCCACTGGGAACCTGCTCAGCACCCCAAGGCACTGCCTGACCCATTCCCTTGCTTTTCATTTTGGTGGAAAACAGAGCCCAGGAGAAGGCTGGTTCACCTTGACAGCAAGCCAGGAACTTGGAAGTGCCCTAGGCTCAGTGCTGGAGCTCCAGCTCAAAGGTACTTCCAACATATCTGAGCGTCTCACTAGGATAAGAATAAATTCTTGGGATGTCAGAGAATACAGATAGCAGTGAAAGCCTCTGCCTAGCACTGGAATGCTTCTCCCATGAGGTATGTGAAGAGATTGCTCACACCCAGTGCTACAGACAAAGTAAAACCTCACATGTCCTTTCATGGAGAGCAACTTCTCCATTGTCTGCCAGGCAGCTTTTGGGTGTAACCAACTTTCTGATGCGATCTTGGATTTCATCATGACATTTTCACAAATCTGGGGACACAGGATCTCCTCGGTTACTTCTCACTTTCTCAGCATCTGCTTCAGGCCTTTCTCATTCTACCCTGATCTGCACTTTATTATTCATACTTCTTGTCTTTAATAGCAGCATCATTTCTATCTTCTTTGTAGTCATTTCTATCTTCTTTGTAGTCATCGGACTTCCCCTCTGCCTTGTGATCCCTGTCTTGCTCTAAATAGCCTGTCTGTGTTTAATCCATGCCTCAGATATGTTGATTCTTTTTAGGAAGGGGCAAGAATGTTCTAAGAGTTGAAGATGTAGCACAGAACATACTTTCATCAGCCTAAATCCAGCCCAGCTGGATGGTAATTAGAAGTTACTGGCAGCTTCTGAAGGTCTGGGAGAAGCACTCTGTTTCCTCCACCATAGGACTCTTATCTTGTCACAGATATCTGCTCCACCTTTCAGTTTTCATTTAAAAAATGCACAAGAGCAATGGAGAGGTTTTTTTCAGAAGTCATTTGCAGTCTTTATGAACCAAAGAAGGTGTTTTTGTAGTGAGTGACACACAACAGCTCTCAGTGTAGCATTAGCTTCTGAGCCTTCTTCTCATTTGCTCAGGAAATCTTCCCMAAAAATAGGGGGACAGAGTTCTTGGCAATAAAATACCACTGGAAACAAATTAAGGGGGCAGGCAGGAAGATACTGGCATTTCCTGGAAGTCTGGCTGCAGGCAGCCATGGGACCAGGGGAATTTATGGTGTACCTATTTACGCAAGTTAATAGCACAATTAATCTGTGATCAAAGAAAGGTTTATTTACATCACTTTGAATTAAATATGGGCCTAATAGCATTGAGTTTTGTCTGTCGCGCATAGAGCTGAGGTGCTGGCTGCGTTTTTAGGAGTCCACAGACCCTGGGGTGGCCCCAGGTTCTCCGTGGAGTTCAGTTTCCTCCAAACACAAGATCTCTGATCTTTCAGCCATTTGGCAGCTGGGAGGCGGCAGACGAGGAGGTTGAGGCCTGGTGCTGAGATGCAGTTTATCTGAGCTCCCCGGGGCTGCTTCGTGAGCCTGCAGCAATCTCGGCTCCACGCTGCTCCCGGGGTCACGTCCACCACTGCTACCCAGGGGCGTATGCAGCGCTCACATCCCTGCACTGATATTATATAAAACCTTGGCACTGATCTCAAAACACTAGCAAAAACAAACCCAGTGGGGTGTTTTTATTATTCAAACCAACCATTTGGCGCCTTATTTTCAAATCCACAGCCCAACCGCTGCTGGCTCGGTGCCCATCACCATAGAGCTTTTTACATATTTTCCTCCAGCAGCTGCGGCAACCTCCTATGTACCCCATGTCCTGCCAGGCTGACTCAGCCTCTGTGTCATGGTCTCGCTGGGGAAGAATAAGATTTCAATTTTATTCTGCTAAAAAAAAAAAATAGTGTGGTAGGAGCTCATTTGTTTTAGCAGAGCAAGGTGAAAGCAGAAACCTTTGGCTTCCCTTTGAGAGATAACAAGCGCGCTGTACAGTGACAKGAGAATTCAGGAATGCTGGGATTCCTTAAGGCAGAGCCTGTGTCACCTGAAGCAAATGTGACCTGAAGCAAATGAGAATTTTATTCTAAAAACTCTGGACCTCCTTTTGCTGACTTCAGGCAAATTCTTCCCATGCACCCAAAATAAGGTCATGTTGACCCAAAGGGTGTCAACAGCAGCACAAAAGGAGGGACAACACTGACTTTCTGCTGGCATTTGGTCATTACAATGCAAATGGGGATCGATTTCTGTCCAAAAGGGCAAAGTCTAAGGAAAAGCCATAAAGCTGTAAACGGCCTTTCTCCACTTGGGAAGGAGGAGGGAAATTTGCTCCCCCATAACAGAAGTTGTTTCAGGTTGCAGAAGAACAGGGTGAAAATCAAGGCATTCCAGTGCATGCCAGCAGAGTTARTGTCTATTAGCTAGGCTGTAAAATCCGAATAGCGTTTTATTTTTAAGTGTAGCCCCAGAAGGGTTAAATCCTTTTCTTTGGTAGCTGAAAGCAGCTTGTGTGACCTGCTGGGGCTGGAGGGACACTCTGGCAGCTGCAGGGAGTTCWTGTGCTGAGGCAGAGCAGAGCTGCCCTGGCCAGGTGGAGGGAAACCATCGTTCAGCACATGCTCCAAGGACAGGCAGTGGCTGTTCTCCCTATTTTTCTTCGGGAGCATGTGGATCTGGGAACAGATGCGGGTCTGGGATGGCATTAGGGATGGCTTCAGCACCGCCCTGCACTGTGAAAGAAGACATTGTGCTCAGCCCCAGAAACACACGTGGCTGTTCCCGTTCATTGGCACTACAGTAGTGGGCACTGCTATGGGACTGTGAACCTTGCAATTTGTCTACCTTTGACTTTTTCTCCTTTTTTTTTTTTTTTTTTTTTTTTTTTTCCCCCTATCAGAAGTGCATCTTTTGTGGCTTCTCTGGGTGTTTCTGCATGTCCATGTCTCTTTTCTCATAAAAAAAGCCCAGTGCTGGCAACTACAACAGACATGCACCCAAGCATTACGATCACGCATCGCGCACCTGTGGCATGGGCAGTCTGTGATCATCGAGGTAGATTTATGCAGTTGGTAGCCCCAGCCAGTTCTTAGATGGCAGAAAGAGATGTTATCACTGCTGCTGCCACCACATCCTCTTTTGGAGCCCTGTTCTATCTTGATGCATTGGGGTATTTCCATCCYGAGTGCAAGGGCCCCTGTTGCAGAAACGTTGCCCATGATGGACACTGATTTTTGCTGGTTACAGTTGTGAGTAATCACTTCCTGGAAGACAATGCATGACTCAGATCCCAAAAGCCTCAAGCCCCGCAGGAATAAGTAAGGCCCCCAGGGATGCRAGGCAGGGAAAGCTGCAGAAAACCCAGTTTCTGTGGGCATCAAGGCGTCAGCTCAAAGGGTAGGGGGGCTGCTGGCTACTCATGGGAATGGCTCTGGAGTGTCCCTTCATAAAACGGCCACGTTCTTCCCTTATTTTTCATGCAATCCCCCTAAGAGTACTTGGGTCAGCCAAAGTCCCCACGCTCATCGGATGAGATGTTTGCTCCTTACAGCATTTAGCACCGTTGGAATGGGGCAAAAGCGTCTGGACTTTCTAGGGTGCAGTGAGAACTTGTGAAGGCAATGACAGGAGGCAGAGAGCCTGAAATGRTAACGTTTCTTAGCTCCTCAAAAAGTAGGAAGGTAAAATAAGGGGAAGCCCAAGTAGAGTTTGGGAGCTGTGTGTCTATGTGTTTGCTTGTTGAGTGGAAAGAAGAAGGCAAAACGATTCCTCCCAAAATGCTGTTACGAAGCAGCACTGGGTTTTCTTTGGTCTTTGCAGGGCAGCCCTCCTCCCTCTGCGAAGAAAGGGAGCTCTGTGGATATTCTGCCCTCCTGTGGAGAAAAGACTTAGAGCCGGAGCTCAAGCGGGGCTTCGGGGAAGAACATTCCCCAAGACTAGAATTCGCTCTTTTTTTTTTTTTTTTTTTCATTTTTTTTCTCCCCCAATTCAGGGCAAAAGTGCTGTTTTTGATTTTTAAACACGGAAAGGGCCTTCTTTGGAGACAGGGCTGGGCTGCCCGTGCCGAGCTCCCCACCGCGCCTCGGGGCTCGCGCTCCCTCAGGCGCCGAGCRCCGGTTCCCGCCTCTATGGTCGGGGCGTGGCTAGAGCGCCCCCTACAGCCCACTCGGCTGCCTGTGTTCGTCATTTCCGGCGCTGCGGGAGGGGCTCTTGTCCCAGGGTGCCGCGCGCGCTCCCTCCTTCCGGCGGCGCCGCCATCAGCGGAGCAGCAGGTGAGACGAGGGGGTGGTGCGGCGGCATCCGCGGCCATCGGTGGCACCGGGGGGCCATCGCGGGGAGCCGCGGCCATCGGCGGCACCCGGGGTCATGGGGGGAGCCGCGGCCATCGGCGGGAGCCGCGGCGCTCGCAGCCATCGGCCGCCGCTTACCGCCCTGTCCGCGCTCTTCCCCACAGACATGGCGATCCGCTACCCCATGGCCGTGGGCCTCAACAAGGGCCACAAAGTGACGAAGAATGTGTCGAAGCCGCGGCAGTGCCGCCGCCGCGGGGTGAGTGCGGGGCCGGCGCCGGGAGGGAGCTGGAACCGGCGCTGCCGCCATGGGGAGCTCCGTGAGCAGCGGGGCTGGGAAGCTGCAGCGTAACTGGGGATGGGGGCAGCTGTTGGGACTCCCTGACAGGCTGGCAGCGGGAGCTGTCAGGTCCCTTCGCATCTTTCACMCGCTTCTAATTGCCATTTGTTCCCAGTTCGTTCTTTGCCCCGCGGTGCAGGTTGCCGTGCCAGCCTGTCTGYCCGCACACTTTTCAGACTTGCCTGCTGTTGGGCTTGTTTCTGTGAAACAGCCCATGAGAGTGCCTCAGTTTGCAGAGCAATTTTATTTTTACYAAAGCTCTGGGTATTGTCTCTGGTGTCTAGACATGGTTAGTGAAATGGGTTGCTTGCTCACAGGTGGCTGAGGTACAACTGGAACCTTTTAGCTGCGCATCAGGCGCTTGTTGTGGCTTTCATTGAAGTCTATCCTTGTTCCTGGTAGTGCTGTGCTTGGAGAACGATGTGCTTGGAGCAGAAGCCCTTTCCTGCACGGCTGTGGCARGAGTGCTGGTAACAGTTGTGCTTAGTTGCTGTAAAGTTTGCAGAGCTGAGAGGGGCAGTGATTCTAATGTGTGATCAGGGACAGCTGCTGCRTCCTGAGTCCAGTTTTATGTCCCTGCTTTCCAAATAGGGGCCCAAATGCTGTATGTRACTTGGAGGTATTTGATTGAGGGCTGGCTAAATGAGCACTGAGTTCTCTGTGTGCCGAACCTTGTCTTTTTTCCCTTCCCGTAGCGCCTRACCAAGCACACCAAGTTTGTGCGTGACATGATCAGGGAAGTCTGTGGCTTTGCACCCTACGAAAGACGTGCTATGGAATTGCTGAAAGTTTCCAAAGACAAACGCGCTCTGAAGTTCATAAAGAAACGGGTGGGTAAATCTGACATCTCAATGAAGGTGCTAAAAATTCTTGTAATTAATGTTCTGTTTGCTGCTTCTCCTTAAGGAAACCATTTTTCGATTAATTTTCTTGCTTTTCARTGGTTTGGGCAATTACTCATCTGACCTGAGGGAGTGATGGGAGCTTAACTGTGTTTTGCTGGCAAGGCCTTAAACTACCGTGACCCAAATTCTGTGCTTGTGTTGTTCTATTTGGGATAGGGCATAAAAGATTAGTACTGATAGAGATGGGCTGTTGTTAACCAACTGGCTTGAAACACCCATGTTTCACCAGGGCAGAAGCCTTGATGGCTGAGGTGTCTCTACTTGCCCCTTTCCCCCTTTAACTTCTTCGAAAAGCAACAATTAAACAAACATATGGAATAAGAGTAATGCGGAGATGTGACAGATGAGAAGTGATTTCTGACTATTTAAGGCTGACTGTGCTCAAGTTCATGCCTGTCAGAACGTCGCTATCCAGCCTGTCCTGCAGTAGAGCATCTTTCCCTGGCTGCTTGAAGCACAAGCAGGGGTTTTGCCCATTTTCCACGGCACTGAGTGCTGACCATGCTGCTCCTCCCTGCAGGTCGGCACTCACATTCGGGCCAAGCGGAAGCGTGAGGAACTCAGCAACGTCCTGGCAGCCATGAGAAAAGCTGCTGCAAAGAAGGATTGAGCTGTACGGTCTGTAACTCAATAAAATCCTTTCTCACAAAAGCAGTGTAGCAGCTGCTACCGGAACGTTTATTGCAGGCTGTAGGAAGCGGAGTCCTCCTGGGGGTGCTGGTTTGGGTCAAGAGGAGTTCTAGGTAACCTCACACCTCTGGGCCGGGGTGAGGGTACAGAGAGAGCACTGCCCTTTTCCTCTGGTGCCGCTGCCTGAGGGGCAAGGTCAGTGCTGCTTTGGTTGACCAGCCATTTAGGGGGAATGGGCAGAAAGATGGGCCCTGGCTGATTACCTGGAGGGGAATACATTACTAGTACTCATGTAATTGCTCTCCCCCTTTTGAATAACTCCTTTTTAAACCCAGTTTCTATAGTGCTCGCTCTAAGTACTTAAGCACTCGCATTCACTAGAGCAAGACTATGTTTATTGATGCACAACAGCCACTCTTAACCCACTTGATTTCTGACCTGTTGTTTCATTTAGTACAAAATACACTTCTTGCAGCAATAGCACATCTAACTGCTGCTCCTGAGCCTTTTCCTTCTGTCCAGCTTTGTGCTCTCTTGCCCCTTAGGGTTGTTCTTGATGAGGGTGAGTTGGGCTGTAGTCTAGAGGAAGAGAACCACGTCCAGCTGCAGCCCGTTGCAAGGGCTCTGCTGTACTGTCCCCCTCTGTTGCATAAGCCCAGACAGCATGACGTTCTGGAGAACTACTCGGTGACCGGGTGCCCAGAACACCCTGCATTGAAGCACAGCTCCGCTCTGTTACCAGTCAGTTTTTCCATAAGCAGGCACYGGCATTTACAGTGAAATAACATTCTTTAAGGATAAGCCTTCAACATACCTCTGCTTTGAGTAGTTTGTAATGTGCAAATTCTTTAGATAAAGTTTCAGAGTTTAATTTTATTGGAAATACTTCACATGTGTCATAATTGTAGTAAACAGTGAGAAATATTTTACTCTACGAAAGCCATAATCCATTTTGGTGGCTGCGCAGCAGCAATAGCTTTAAGTCACAGTTCAGGATTCTCCCTCTGTTACAGGACAGACCGCTCCCAGTCCTTAGGTTGATGGCGGTCACCCTCCAGCAGAAGCCAGCGTTGGAAATGCTATATCAAACACTTCTTTGTAGTGTTCCACAAAATGCACTTCTAGTCCTTCTGTAATGAATCCAGCAAGGTCATAATAATCCTTTTTATTTTCAGATGGCAAAACGATACAGGTAACACCTGCTCTCTTTGCCTAGGAGAAGCAGAACATTAATCAGGCTACGTGTTTAGTCCAAGAAATTCATTAGTCTACCACAAACAGACTTTTTAAGAAATGCACTCCCCAGCCTCCCCTTTGCAGGTCCAGTAACAGCTGAAGTTGAAGGTATCTTAGGGGGCTTTGTCAGCACACCCAGAAATGGTTTAGACTAATTCATGCTATTTTATATAGTTTTAGGAGTCTGCTTCAGTGTGAGTGAGGACAGGCCCTAGAATCACAGTTCATCAGACCGCTCCCCCCTACTCTATTCACAGCACAGCATCCCTTCCATGAAACAGGCAGGATGTCCACCTTCCACACTTCTCCATGGTGGCTATGGAATTACTGCCACTCCTTCCACTAGAGGAGCGGTCACAGTGGTTGTCCCTGTCACCCCTGAGGCTGACCCACAGCTGGTCTCCCCCTCTCACACCCAGAGAAAAGGAAGTGCTCTTACCGCAATAGTTTTCTCCTTTATTCCACCAACAGGAAGAATTTTTCCAGTTAACGACACCTCTCCGGTCATGGCCAAATTCTGTCTCACTGGGCAGTTCATGGCCAGCGATAATAAAGCTGTAACTATCGTACACCCTGCACTTGGTCCATCCTTTGGGGTTGCTCCCTGTTAAAATAATAATAAATTTTAAAAATCCCATCCACCAACACTACTGTGCTATTCAAAGAAGAGACTGTGATGGAGTAAAAGCCCTTCAAGACTCAAAGGCCTAAACTCACGGCAATCAGGCTTTATCTAAGAACAAACAGATCKTTAAGGCAAAAGCTGAAGGAATTAATGCTGAGAGGTGCAAGAACAGAGATCACCTCTGCCTCATGCTCCTCCAAGAAGTCAGTACTCAGAAAACAACTATGTTGTTGGAATCTGGCAAAGGACGCAGTAAGCGCCAATAAGGAAACTCTGATCTAGGTTAAAGATGAAAGTTTGGAAACAGAATTCAGTGAAGACAGTTCTGTTCCTAACGGACCCCTAGAGCCCACTACCACAAAAAACGGGCTCCTTGCAGCATCCCARAAGTGGCAGCACTTTACCTCTGGCACATGCAAGTGGATGTGGGAAGACAGGAGGAAGTCATTGCTGGGCTCCTTCTGCATCAAAAAGGCTCTCGCAAATGTGTAAGCTATTTTGGCACTCTCTTTCATCACATCTCCCAGTTGCCCTGTTACTTCGAGGGACCCATCCTTATTCTCCTTRTTTTTGGGTCGCTTTAGGGATGTTTCAACAAACAGCGTGGAACCTCCTGAGAAAGGAAATAAAAGTGACAACCTGAGAAATGTTCAAGGAAAATAAAAGCAGAGGGTTCCAGCGATGGAGGAGCAGTGTCAGTACTTTGAATCTAGGGCCCTCCACTCGGACACTGGCTCTTGGGTGACAAGCAGTTGAAATCTGCAGAAATATTAGCTAGAAATCTCCCCAAAATTGTACTTACGGTTGCAAGCATTGGGAGTAACTGCTGATTTGTGTAAATGGGCAAAACCTTTGGAACTTGTTATTGCTGGCAGCACCTCTCCAAGAGCCTATACAATCTTTGACAGGCGCAAATATCCATCTGCTTTCTCCACTACACTGCTCATTTTCCTCTTAACCACTTCCAATATTTTAATTCCACCTGAAGTCAACGAGACTACTGTAAGTCAGTAGAGCACCTCCTGCTTTACAGAGGCACTTCATCATACTGGGTATGGAGCATAACATGAGATGCTTGCCTGGAGTGAGTGATGGGCTGAGGGATGGAAAGAGGGCCCCTTCTTCAGTTAAGTCATGGTCACAAAAAGGCCACAGAAGTTACTTTTACTGATACATATAAGAACTTCAGTGGGTTCAGTAAGGAAAATTCAGTTTGTGCACTACAAGGCTACATCTGGAAGTGTTGACACGCATTTTGCTTTACCAGCTCGTACTTTCCAAAACAGCAGCTACATTTTAATATAGCAGAAGGGAAAAAAAAAATCTGGAAGCACAATATGGACCCGAAAGTCAGTGTCTTACCCATAGCTGTCCAGGCCAGACCCATCACCACGCCTGGAGGAGTGGTTTCATACATTCTATCCACAGTGAAGATGGGCTTTCCTACAAAGTCCTGCAGGTTTTCAGGTGTTACTTGGACCATTTCTGCTTCTCCACTCACAATTTTATAGGCAGATTTCCTCAATACCTAAGTGAACAGTAATTAGTTTCTGCGGAAGAAGCTGAGAAGGCTGAAGCACAGAGGTGGTTATTCTTACCTTTTCTACTTGTTTCTGCAGATTCCTCACTCCACTCTCTCTGCAGTATTGCTTGATGAGAACAGTCAGGACATCTGGGGTGATTTTGGCTTTGTTTTCATCCAAGCCACACAGAACTCGTGCTTGAGGGACCAARTACCTCTGAAAGAAATCGTCCACCACATCTTTCCATTAGTATTTGTAACAATGGCTCAATTGTTCCACAATTTGTTGTCTTACTAGAGCATTCTAAATTGGAGGAGCTTTGTCCAGAATACCACATGCCTATTATTGGTTGGCAGGATTGGCTGTAAATATATAAATCTGAAGTCGCTAAGATTTTATCCAGATGTAGTTCACAGAGTGTCTGTGAAATAGTTTCYCTTACCTCTGCAATTGCAAGTTTCTCTTCTGCTACATATCCTGATACGTTGATCATTTCCATTCTGTCTCGCAGAGGCTCTGGAATGGTTTCTGTTACATTGGCGGTGCAAATAAAGAGTACCTGGAAGTACAACAGCCTATTAGGTATTTTCATTAACTTGCTGTCYTGCCTCATTCAGTTGCCTCAATTCTGGGCTTCTGTCTCTGAGGGGGTAGAGGAAGCTCATCGGTGGATAGAGACATCCCAATTGAAAAGCTTGCAGCAGCATGAAGCCATCTCACTTCATGCCAACCCTGACTACCACCATGTAAATCAAAAACTCAACATATGCTAGTGATGATGTTTTCTGAAGTACGTATAGACACCTGGATTTAAGCAAACTTTCTGAGATCTACCCCACACCACCAGTGTCCAACTGAAACTTGTGATGCAGAGGAAATCTCTGTATTGATATACATTGACACATCGTAGCTCCATAACCTCTGCAGAAGAGGGAAGTACCTTTGATAAATCCACAGGAACATCAAGRTAGTGATCCAAGAAGTTAGAGTTCTGTTCTGGGTCCAACAGCTCTAGAAGGGCTGAAGATGGATCTCCTTGATACCCTCTTCCTATTTTATCCACCTACGGAAGACAAATTTCAAATACTATGAGAAATTCCTCACCATGATACAAACATTTAGTGAAAAGATTTTTCAAAGGTTACATTTCAAAATCTTCACTTGTTTGTTCACAAATAGTCACTACCAGCGTACCATTTTCTATACATTTAGCCAAGCCATAACAGCAGGTTAGACCTTTGGTCTGACCAAGTAACCACCCACTCATTTTCTGTCCTTGCTTTTCCATTAAAACAATAGGTCACTAAAGCAATAAGGYCTCTGAAGCATCTTAGTCCTTACAGAATAAGGTTTAGGCCTGGCATTTGTGTCATATATAATATAAAGTAGAAATCTGCCATAGGGAAAGATGACAAAGGTCTTTGGGCAACAGTGACACCACAGATCTTGAGAGCTCATCCTCACAACCAATGTGGAGCTGTTAGGGACATTACAGAGGGGCATCTGTCAGGGCCAAGAACTGACACCTATGCATTTAAGAGCAGAATCTAGAAGATGAGATACATCACCTCATCAATCAGTATAAGCGGATTCTCTGTCTTGGTTTTCTTCAGGCACTGGATGATTTTTCCAGGCATTGCCCCAACATATGTCCTCCTGTTTTATCAGAAACTATATTTAGGAAAGGGTTGTAAAATACAGCACACATCACACAGCATAACATGCACCCATTAAATCTGTATATCCTGCTGGGAAGCTAATCAAGGGAAAAAATAGTGTAAACCAAAAAGCAAACTAAAGGAATATACTGGTTACAGCAAAACAGTCYTGCTGCCAGAGCAGCTCGTGTCCAGGACAGGCAGACACGGAGCAAGAATGTAACTGAATGAACTCAGACCTCCTGGCATGAACAACAGGAGACAAAAGCTACAGACTCAGCACAGACCACAGAACATCCTGGAAAACACTGCAGAATAGCAGTTCTTGTTAACACTATGAAAACATTACTAGTTCGAAGGTGTACGCAGAAGGAAAATTAATCCCTGGCACAACCCAATTTGCTGATTTTTTATCCACTTATCATTCCCATTCTAAAGTTTCATGATGCAGCACTTCCCTCCTGGTTTGGAGGCCATTCACACACGAATACCTCCGAATGACCTTGTTCAAACTATGATCATTCTTTAGGACTGGCATTTACGGACACACAGTTCAGTGCTTTTGGTAGCTTGCACAGCTCTTAAGATCTCCCATTAGCAAACACAAGCAGCAGGGAGCATAATGCACTGAGAGATGCCAACGTGATGATGTTAAGCTCGTCCCTTTGCCACCACTGTCACCTTGTCCTACACCCCAGCTCCTGGTGGGTAGAGCTGACATTTAATTGCACACGATTYAACTTCAGTTAGGTTCCTATTTTGACAATGTTAGTAGAAATTGCTGGAAAGTGCTCAAGTTGCACTGACCTGTGTCCCTTTATTTCTGCCACGTCAGTCATCCCTCCAACGCTGAAGCGGAAGTATTCCCTGTTGAGGGCTCTCGCAATGGAGCGGGCAATGCTGGTCTTGCCAACCCCGGGAGGGCCGTAAAAACACAGAATCTTCCCCTGGGTGGACCCTCGCAGCTGGCTGACTGCTATAAACTCCTGGGGAACAGAAGCACCAAAACTGAACAGACGGCAGTGGCAGCAATATCAAAGCATATTTGTTACCACGTCAAATGGTGCTTACAAAAAAATCTAGAGACTGCTCCCCTTCGCGTTACTTATTTCCTCCTCGAAGTTAAGGGACAACAGCACATAGTAATTTCAAATCAGAACACGGCCTTCATTGCCACCAGCAGTTAAACACATTAGCCTATACAAAAATATTCCTAGGGCTTCCTGCTTGATCCATGAATTAATACAAAACGAAAGGAGAGCCACAAGCTTGAACCTGCCCAACTGCCTGATGCCACCCAGGGTAGGAAGGGGGGTGCTCTGCCCATTCCTGCCTTACCAGGATTCGCTTCTTTACATCATCCATTCCATAATGATCCTCCTCCAGAACTGCCTGGGCTCGGGTCAGCTCCAGGTTCTCCTCACTGCATTTACCCCATGGGATGGATGTCAGCCAGTCCAAGTAGTTCCGTGTAACACTAGCAGAAGGAGACAAAGGAGAATGATTTGACAACCACCACTCCTTTCTCTTCTAGCTTAAAAATAATGTATAGATTTTTCTCCCAACAGAATATCCTCCCTTAACAGCAGCAGATATCGCCGTGCGCTCACTTGAACTCTGAGGAGTGATTATCTAGCAAACTCAGCTTGTTCAGCTCTTCATCTATCACGTCCATAACGTGCTTTGGCACCACCAGCTCCTTTAGTCGCTCGCGGAATTTCTCTTCTATGGCATCCTTGTCCTCTTTTTCCAGACCTAGCTCTTTCTTAATGATCTTCAGTTGCTCTTGGAGGAGATACTTGCGATGAGTCTGCTTGATCTTTTCCTCCACCTAGACAGAGCAGCAAATACAGTATTTATTCTGTTCCAGATAGTACACATCAAACACATGCTCCCAAACACACTGCAGTTACGATCTGTGTTACCCCTAAACTWACTTTCTCCCTTTAAAGCGCCCACCATTGTCTTGCTTTATCATTCTTCAGCAGCAAAACTAAGCAGTAAAATGGACAGGGTATAAATACAGGCGGTCCATGAGCTACTCAAAGACTTACCTCCCTTCCAAGACGCTGCTGGAGTTTGCTCAGCTCATATTCCTTCTTCAGGAGGGACAGGGCCTTGTAAAGTCGTTTGGGAATCTGGACAAAAAATAAGTACACAAAGTAAATTTTCAGACATGGTACTCTTGTTAGCCTTTCTCTCCAGAAGTTATAATCTAAAATAAAAAGCTCCTACTGGTTACCCACAAATTGCTCTTGCTGGGAGAAGCCTGCCCCAACTCTCCAGCATCCACAGATATAAAACAACAAACCTTGYAGCTGTTCARCAATATGGACCYGACTGGGGAACAACAACTGCTACCAAAGGTGCACAGCACCCAGCCTTTTCCTCAAGTTATTCATTATATTTATATTGATATATTTATATCAGTTACGATATTTAATACATCCTTCAGCTAGAACCTAGTCATGGATAACTAATCCATCATCACTTATACTATGCTGTCCTCTATCCTGAGGATATATATGAGGATATACTGCTAGAGAAGCCACGATACGTGACAGACACACTTCTAATTCCGCTAGTACAGCTCCAGTTCAAAGCTTCCTCTTACACTGGTTTCTTCCAGGACGTCTTGGAGTTCTTGCGACTCTGCCCCTGTTAGCGCTGCCCCCATGTCACTCAAGTAGATAGGATTATCTACTACTCGCTGTCCAGCCTGCATCATCTGAAGTACCGACTCTCTGAAAAACAGAGGTAACCCCCCAAAAAAGATTAATCAACAGAGAATTGCTACGTTCATAAGGAAGCACCCTAGAACAGCTATTTAGCTTGTGAGGACAAGATTAAAAAGTAAACTCAGCTCCACTTCAGAACAAAATAATTTTGTATTTTACATCTGATTCAGGCAGTGCTCAGTAACAAATCAAAAAAAAAAAAAATCCTTGATAATTAAAAGGAATGATCCTATCTCTTATCAAAGTTTCCTCTCCATTTCTAACAGAGGATGATAAAACTTGCATCTTAAAACAAACTCCTAAGCAAAAATTAAGCAAGGGCCTTTTCTTAGTTACTGCTAAAGGACAGGTGAAAAAGAAAATCTCAGRCTACTCCCATGTGACTGAGAACTTGCCATTGCTAAAGCCATTCCCACGTACCTGTACAAGGGGTTCAAGGCAATGATGTCCCGGATTGTTTTGACAATTTCTGCAGTAAGTGCCTATTAACACAAGAAGGTTTTAAAAAACAATAAGCTGGAAAACACACTACTCTACAGAGCAGGCCCTGGCTTGGATGATTCACTCACTTTAACCTCTTCTGTCATCTGAAAATCTTCATGAACCACATTCTCTACTTCCACCATAAGAACCTCCTGCAAGGAAGAAGCCACAGGCTCTAGTACCCCTTCCACAGCCTGCTCCTTTGCTCCAGGCTCTTCTTCGGCCTCTTTTCGAGGCCGCTTCTGCTTCCTTCTGATTTTCTGTTTGTTCTCAGACTCCTCAGGCTCAACCTCTAGTTGCTTGTTTATACGAATCCTAAAAGTCAAGACAAACAGCAACAGTCAATTCTCCTCTATACCCAGCTACGTCTCTCARGAAAGAAAAAAAGAGTTCGAGTTGTATTCTGAGTAAACTAAAATGCAACTAAAATCTTCTGCTCCTAAATAGCTCATCTTTTGGTGAGCTTGCATCTGATTGCATCATTGCCCTCAAGCTCTTATTAAAGGCATTCACACGGTACAGCAGAGGAACTACTGCAYAGCTTCGCTTTCCTTGTGAAGCCACATGCAGGTGGTGAAGATGCTACAGGCACAGGTCTGTGTGTACAGAAGTGAGAGGAAACGCAGCTGAGGTCATTACCTGCGGTGCCCCATGACTATCATCCGCAGCTTGTCGCCGAGGTCCTGCATCTCGTGGATTTGTACAAAAGTTCCCATCTGATAGATTTCATCCAGATTCTCCACCACGTCCGATTCGTTGCTGTGGGGAAAAGAAATAAGAGCAGATATTCAGAAAGTAGGATATTCAGAATATCAAGAAAGTCATTATTGAGAAAGGTAGACTGTAAGAAGACTTTAGACTGACTTAAAGAGCAAAGACATTCACTTTGCCCCGTGTTACCACCGCATGGGCTGTTTCCAAGTCACTCGGCTATCTGGATACCTCATTCCTCTCCCAAATAAAAACAGGCTTTGCTGCAGCCAGGCTTAAGCCCCTAGCTATGCTCGTGGTAGGAAAAAAAGCTGTGACAGTTGGAGGATGCCCCAAACCCTGCCTACATTCAGCTGCTGTATCACAAGGCAGAGAATTTCCACACAGATTTAGAATCATGGAATCCTTAAGGTTGGAARGGACCTCTAGAGATCATCTAGTCCAASCCCCTGCACACGCAGGGTCACCCWGAGCACGGGGCACAGGCTGCATCCAAGCAGGTTGTGAAGACCTCCAGAGAAGSAGACTCCCCATCCTCTCTGGGCAGCCTGTGCCAGGGCTCTGGCTCTCTCACTGTCAAGGAATTTTTCCTCAAGTTCCTGTGGAACTTTTGGTGCTTCAGTTTGTGGCTGTTTCCTCTAGTTCAACCAGGGGCCACCACTGCAAAGAGGCCGCTCCATCATCCTCACTGCCTCCCTTGAGGTGTCTACAGACACTGCTCAGGTCCCCCTCAGCCTTCTCTTCTCCAGGCTGGACAGGCCCAGCTCCCTCAGCCTTTGCTCTCAGGGCAGATGTTCCAGGCCCCGATCATCCTCGTAGCCCTGCGCTGGACTCTCTCCAGCAGCTCCACATCCCTCCTGTCCTGGGGAGCCCAGCGCTGCACACAGTACACATTCTTAGGGAAAAATCAGCCTCGTCACGGAAATGCCTTATATCCAAAGGCATCAARAGGCACAACTTACTTATCATCCTTTTTAAGGAAGACACCAGCGTAAGGCTGGGCAAGACGAACTTTCCTCCTCAACAGCTCAACCAGCTTCTGATTTTTCACCTAGGACAAGAGTAAATTCAAAGTCAGAGGTGGATTTGAAAACTTCACAGTCCCATTCATTGCGTAAGGCCACATTTCTGCTGGAACTGAACTACTAGAGCCATGAAAGGGAATATTCAGGACAAGTGTTTCTGTCCCGTTTGCTCGCAGATCTTTGCCTTTGCATCGCTCTTCCTGATCCCAGGGGACGGGCGCCCGGAGCGAACTCGGGACGGGATCTGCTTAACCTTGAGCGGAGACACGAGCAAAGGCCAAAGCTGGATGCGCCCAGCGGCAAGGGCGGCAGGGAAGACCCTGACGCAAGGCCAGGCAAGCGGGGATTTCGCAACCCTTTTCTCCAGGAGGCGGCAAGATTCCCAAGGGCAGCGAGGGGGAAGATGAGCTGGCGGAGGCAGCAGAACGCCCTGACGGGTCCTGCTACCTGCTCGAACACCTTGCACTAGCAATAAAATAATAAGCGTGCAAAAAGCACCCGAAACAAGAGGAGAACGTGGAAACCCGTGGAGGGAGGCCGCGCGCCGGCCGGCTCACCTCGATGATCTTGATGAAGCGCGGGAAGACGGGGTTGCGCGTCACGGCGATGAGCGGCACGTTGGGGAAGTGCTCGGGCACGAGCAGCGGCGTGAGCGCCGTCATGGCGGCGCCGCCGCCCTCCGCGCCGCCGCCGCCGCCC